ATTTCATAGCGCATGTATTTTCTTGTCATGAGGCAAGATTCCAGTGCTTTCGGTGTCCCAGGTATCAGGATTTATGGAAATAATTCACGTACTACGGAACCCACAGGCAGGAGCGCTTACAGGGAGGAGAAGCTGTATAAAAGACCAGCCCGCAATACCTATGCAGGCGCATGACGGAAACCTCGCCAATGGGTCGCGCTGTGTAGCCCCTTTCGCCAACAATGTCCAGTTGTATTACTGACTGCATTCATAATCAGTCCATAGCATATGCTATGCAGAGTTCCGTCGCGTGTCGTGGAGAGCGCGGATGCGGCAAACAGAGCCGGCTCGCACCTACGTCACTTTATACCGAGAGTGACGTAGGTGAGAGTGTTCACTCTACACCGAGAGTGACGTAGGTGAGTGTTCACTTTACGCCGAGAGTGACGTAGATGAGCGTGTTCACTCTACACTGAAAGTGGCGTAGGTGAGAGCGTTCACTCTACACCAAGAGTGACGTGGGTGAGAGTGTTTATTCTATACCGAGAGTGATGTAGGTGGGCGTGTTCATCCTACACCGAGAGTGATGTAGGTGAGAGTGTTCATTCTACACCGAGAGTGACGTAGGTGAGAGTGTTCACTCTACACCGAGAGTAACGTAGGTGAAAGTGTTCACTCTACACCGAGAGTGACGTAGGTGAAAGTGCTCACTTTACGCCGAGAGTGACGTAGGTGAGAGTGTTCACTCTACGCCGAGAGTGACGTAGGTGAGAGTGTTCACTCTACGCCGAGGGTGACGTAGGTGAGAGTGTTCACTCTACGCCGAGAGTGACGTAGGTGAGAGTGTTCACTCTACGCCGAGAGTGACGTAGGTGAGAGTGTTCACTCTACACCGAGAGTGACGTAGGTGAGAGTGTTCACTCTACGCCGAGAGTGACGTAGGTGAGAGTGTTCACTCTACGCCGAGTGACGTAGGTGAGAGTGTTCACTCTACGCCGAGAGTGACGTAGGTGAGAGTGTTCACTCTACGCCGAGAGTGACGTAGGTGAGAGTGTTCACTCTACGCCGAGAGTGACGTAGGTGAAAGTGTTCGCTTTACGCCGAGAGTGATGTAGGTGACAGTGTTCACTCTACGCCGAGAGTGACGTAGGTGAAAGTGTTCGCTTTACACCGAGAGTGATGTAGGTGACAGTGTTCACTCTACGCCGAGAGTGACGTAGGTGAGAGTGTTCACTCAACACCGAGAGTCACCTCTTGCCTCAGCAGGCTGTTAGTAGGCTCTCCAGACTGCTCCTGAGCGTCCCCCGCGCGGTGACGGCCTTATCCCCCTTCTTTCTCATCGTCTTTCTCTGGGGCATCATGCGCCGCGCGTTGAAGTTTTCAGTCGCGGGCATTATTGTGGGTAAGGATTGGAACGCCGCTCCCTGAGCGAGAAGCGTCGAATGTAGAAGTGGCACTTGATCTACCGATGTCTCGCCGCTGCATCCCTCGGGGCTGCATGGATTAGTCGTAGGTATGTCGGCATGCATGGATTTGTTTGAGTGCTTACCTCTAGCACCCTGTGATATCCCCCTTTTAGGCATTGACGTTACTCAGTCGTGGTCATAGGCTGGTTGTTTTGGTCGACCTAAAGACATGCCTGCGTTCATGCCTCTGATTTTTCCTGTAGGTAAAGGGATCCAATAAATAGCTCATTTTCAAAATTCATGGCCGGCACAGTCTGACCCCATGACTTGACGGGTCTGAAATTGTCGGTTTGGATTTTGTGCACGTGATCACCCGGTACACCAAGACCACGAAAACATACAATATGATGGTACTTCGCACAAACCTCAGTGGTAGTTTGCCTAGCACCATCCATGCAGTGACCCTGCCCTCCAAGCAAACTCTCACAATTTGATTACACCCCATAGCCCCTGCACGCATGTGTGACATTCGACGGAAACAAATCGCGCCTGTCACGGCCAATAAACCCCAGGGTCGTCTGATTAGTCGGTCGCGCCGCCGCCCCGCCCCCTCGCCGCCGCCTGGTTGCCCACGCTCGGTCAAGGTTTGTGATCGGTTCGGCTGCCAAGCAATGGTTACCTGGCCACGGCCGACTGCCGCCACTTAGCATTGACCCACCGGTCGTTGCCGCCGGCGGCACCACGTGGTCGCGTGCGCACGGCTCGCGCACGGCCGCCGGCCGGAGCGGGAACGGGATGTGACGTCATGGGGCATTGAGGACTGGACGGCGCTGCAGGAATGCTGTGCAGGGACCGGGCCATAGTTTTCGTCATCGGGTTTTACGAGGCACGCAGCTACTAAGGCTAAAATATTATGGCGTCACCTGTTTCTCACCCTGGCAACACGGGGCGGGTGCCGCGGGGAATTGAAACCCGTGCCTCTGGTTTCCCAGACGTGCAGCGGTCATCGCACACGCGTTAACTACCACTCTTAAACGCAGACGCGTTAGCCACCACACTACCGGCACCCCGCGCGAGTAGTGGGTTAGCACAGACGCCGGCCCCGAGTGAACACGAAGAACGACACACAAGCCTGAGCTGTGGCGCATGGAATGTGGGGCATGTACTTCAAATGCGCCCGAGCTGTAGAGACTGGGACAACAGGCACGCGTAGCAAGTCCGAGGAGCAGAACTTAAGGTACAGTCCCAGGCCTGCACATAGCGTTGGATGAGTTGAATCAGCTGTTGAAACCAGGTGAACAGGAATTGAGTCAGTTCTGAACGTGACGCGGTTTTCATTTTTTCCGCGAATCGGTCAGATTCCGAAAAACGCATATCTGCTCTTCCAGCGTGTTTCGCTTCTTTCAGCATGGCTTACCGGAGCCAAGGTAAGAGCTACATTAAAAACTCTAGTAGGACTGAACAACAAATTTTGATTTAAACGCGACTTGCGCAGTTTCGGGTTCCTTGACACACACCGCCGCCACTCAGCCGGTGTGAACCTGCACAAGCCCCGATTCCCGCTAGTTGAACCTAAGTGTAAATTCAAGGTTTTAAGAATGTTTGTATCCGATCCCCACGCGCTCTCATTAAGGCTTGCGTCCGAGTCGAAACGACTGCGCTGCCAGTCTGGCGAGCCTGTGCCTCAGTATGACCAGTCTGTGACATGGGTCGAGTCTACGAGCACGAGCCCGGCAAGGCCATGTCAAGTCCAGTCCGAGTCCGGCTGAACTGCTGAACCTGCTGAACCGGCCGAACTGCTGAACCTGCAGCAGGCGCGGAGCCCGTTGGTCTTTTTTCACTTTCATTACGCGCGATTGGCAGCTCTAATCGAGTCCGTCACGCCCGCTGGAAAGTAAAGGAGGTTTCAGAGATACGCAGAAAACGAGCCTTCATATCATTTTTTAAAGAGAAGTAGATATTCTACACGGTGTTTCTGCGGGCTCAGAATGGCCTTTGCAGTCAACACGCGAGACGGATTATATCTAAACAAACAACGGCCACATTTGTCATCACCTAACTGGCGATAGACGTCATTGCGTGCCTACCTCACTGTTACAGCTCAACCGCAAACATTTTATTATTCTCTGCATTCGACAGTTACAGTGGTAGCACTTATGGCAAACCACCACACCCCTGGCGAGACCCCGGCGCGCGCGCGCCGCTGGGCGCGGCGGGAAGGGACGGTACCGCCAGGCATCAGGCGACGTCTCCGTTGAACAGGCGGCGACCTAGCGACCAAAACAAAGCCGAGCAATTCGAAGTTGGATATGTAATTGTGCATGGCGTCAAACAGAAGCAGAGTTCAGCTACCGCGCTTGAAAGCCGGTGGAACGAATAGTCGCTCCGTAACACCCTTAACCTAATCATTAGTATTCATTGCCTCACACAATATCGCAAAGTATCGAACAAACATGGCTCACAAGACCAACACGAAACACTACACAAAACTAAGCGTAGCAAATAAGTAAAGCATCTGGTCGACAAGGGCACGATGCCTGCTTGAGGGCAGTCCTACTGCGGAATCAGCAGGACAGTGGACCCACGCAAGCACCAACACGAGAGTATCAAACAAGCGGGCGCGAGCCTGCGCACTAAACTAAGCGCAGTCTGGACACTCATCGGGCAGAGCCGTGCCGTCGGAGGGGCAGTTTTACTGCGGAATAAGCAGGGCAGAGTCATGCAAGGAACACTCTATCATACGAAAACCGGCGCAACGCCCTCCAAAAGCAGCCACGCCCCCCCCCCCCCTCCCCCCCCCCCCCAACAGGCCGCGATCAGACTGAAGGATCATCGTTAAAGCTGTGTACAGCGCAAGTACCCGTACTCTCTGTCTCACTTCCCAGAGCTGCGTCCTGTATGGCACGTGGCACAGCACAAGGCGCACGGAGGCACATGCTGACAAAGGCCAGGCACGGTGCCAACGGCCGGACCGGAAGGCAGGGACGCGGTCACACACTTTACTGGAAAACAACTGCAACACTGGCAAACTTTAAGTGGAAAACAACGCACCGTCAGCACGTCGTGTGCCCAGGGTACACCGCTGGCAGCGGATCTAGTGGCCGCCAATAGCACGAGCGCGGCGACAGATAGGACACGCCCACTTCGTCCGGCCAAATCAGAGAGACCACGCCCACCTTGTCCGGCCAAATCAGGCCTGGTCGTCACGCACAAGCAGCTTACGGATCGACGAGCCAAGCGACGAGGGCCATCACAGGCTGCATCGGACGGGCATCAGAGGCCCATCACTTCCCGCATCGGACGCTACCTCACGTCGGGATAACTTGGCTAACTTCTTGGCGACAAGACAGTCGGTATGAGAGGCCACACGGACACGACCTTAATGTTATGTTTCAAACACAGCACAATCTCCTACGCGATACGTTAAAGCCACGCTCTATCCGACGTTTCGCCGCCGTCTTCGCTCTCGACTCGACTCAGCTCTTGACCTGAGCAGAGCCGGCGGAAATACAAATGACGTCATTGACATCATCTTTCTGCATGAGGTCGGCAGTGAACGGGCTTCCTGCCCCCCCCCCCCCCCCCATCCCCTCCCTACCCCACCCCCACCGCAGAGCCACTCCGACAGCGGCACCTTGGGGCCACACCACACCAGATATGATGTCACGCGTATGACGTCACTGCCTGGTATGACCTCACCCTGAAAACGTCACCACTCCATGTAAAGTCAGCCTGAAAACGTCCTAACACACTACTCTTGAAGCCAAAGATGGGCATGGTGTCACCCTGGGCGTGCTCCATATGACATCACCCGAGGTCTGACGTCACGACCCGATATCACGTCCCATTGGCCGCAGTCCGATGCGTCACCCTGTGCATGACGTCACCGCAGACTGCGTCATCCCGCACGTGACTTCACGGCTCGGTGCAGGCCTTGTCGGCGAGCAGCAGCCGAATGGTCTTGGACTGGCTCTCCAGAGTGGTGACCGGCTCCGGCTCCAGCTCCGGCTCCAGCTCCAGCTCCCAGTCGGTCGGCTCGCCCTCCACCGACTGCAGCCGCGCCAGTCCCAGGAACGTTGTCAGCTGATCGATCAGCGCCCGCAGCTCCCTGCCGGCGGAGGAGGCGCGCTCACAGCCGGCAGCGGTGCAGGGCGCAGAGGCGCACGCGTTACGAGGCGTCCACTGCTCCCAAGAGCGAGGCAAATTGAAGGCATCAAGAGCAAATGCGAATACAAGATACATTCAGGTGCAATATCGCGGGATCCGAGATAGCGCGGCTGTCGCTGGCTTCCTCGTGGTGCGTTGCTACCTGGCAAACAATTGAGCATCCGTTACACACCACTCAGACGGTGACCAAGTAAGGACAAGTCCGACCAGCCTCCCGTCTCACAAAACGGGCTGACGCTCGCCAAAGCAGTGTCTGGTCCAAATGAAACCATCCACCACATCTGGCCATGTGCTCCCATCCCGCTGGCCGCCCAGTCGGCCTGCAGCGGCGGCGGTCGTATCTCACGCCTGATGTCCAGGAGGAAAGCTGCGTCTGAAGAGAGGCTTCGCTCCTCCCGCGCGGAGGCGCAGACAGGGCGCCAAGCAGACGCCGCGCCAGCCACGGCCCGCGGTCATGAGACACACGCCCGACACCTGGCGACAAGAGCAGGCACTGCAGCTTGGCCGAGGCGACACGGGAAGGCGCGGCGGCCGCGCTGGCGGAGACTAGCGACGCAAGCCTGCGTAAGCCACGGGGCGATGAAACGACGCTGACTTGGGACAGCTGGACACTGACGGGGCGTTAGATCGCCTGCGTTAGCTGTCACGTGACACTGATGGCACCAGCTGGCGATGACACTGACCTGGGTCAGTGGCGTGACGCTGGTGCGGCAGGTGTGCGACATCAGCCGCTCGTGCCAGCTCCGGTGACACATGACCAGCTGGCCGGAGCTGCGGTCGGTGATCACGTCCTGCGGCACGGGTCATAAGGTCAGGAGGCCAGCGCGGCGCCGCGATCAGGCCGGCCGACCCCAGCGGGCGGTCAGCACGCGCCGGGCAGACGGCGGAGGCGCGGCCAGCACGGCCGCCACGTGGCGGCAGGGCTCGCCTCGATTACACGAACACAGATTCATGCTGCGCAAGGCGCTCACCAAGTTTTGAAGTGATTATTAACTTAAAAACAATAGTCCGAGCCTTTGAAATGGATGGATGCCGTGACCACAGCGCATCCTAAGCAGCACTTGCTTTGTGAGCCTTAAACCCAGCCATCCGATGGCAGAATTCCAAGTCAGCGGCAACATGTCGCGGCGAAAGTTTGTCGTGCCGTAATACTCGACACAGTCCGCCCCGCCCTCTGACATCGCATGGCCTTTAACTCGGCCGCCGCCACCTGCCGCAGGCCGCATCTGTCAAGGGCAAACATAGAGCGCCTGAAGTGACTCGAGATGGGATCGCGAGCGGGCGCGAACGCCCCCTCCCCCCCCCCCATCCCCCGGCGTGTGGCTACTGTCGGCGTGTTCAATCTCGCGCCAACCCCATGCCTGCTGAATTCAGCACAGACGCCGGAAATAGGATTGTTTGATTTTTCTAGACATGCCTCACCATAAGGTTCATCCAAAGCGTTCGTGAGCATGGGACGGGCATGGTGCTGTGCTTCGACCTGGTTGCACGATCATGGTATGATATAAAGCCATCCTTCTGGAACATCCACTGGTTGTTTTTTCTGGTCGCGTGCCAGTACCAAATCTCGCGCGATGGAACCGGCCGGAGGCAAGGGGCTACAGCGCCGAGAGACGGCGCTGTGCCGCCGCAGACGGAGACTGTGCCGCCAAGGGGCTACAGCGCCGAGAGACGGCGCTGTGCCGCCGCAGACGGAGACTGTGCCGCCAAGGGGCTACAGCGTCGAGAGACGACACTGTGCCGCCGCAGACGGAGACTGTGCCGCCAAGGGGCTACAGCGCCGAGAGACGGCGCTGTGCCGCCGCAGACGGAGACTGTGCCGCCAAGTCGGACCCCGCAGCAGCGGTGGTTCCCGCCAGCCCTGGCTGGAGGGCGAGTGCCCGCGGCCAGGAAGGGCGTCTCACCTCCCACTCGCCGAGCTCAGATAGGCCAGCTCCCAGCAGGGCCGCCGTGAATGCCACTGATGCCAGCATACACCCTGAGGATGACAACACTTGCTATACTTTTCATCCTTGTTGCAAGTAATGACAGCATTAAGTTGCATGATGCAATAAAAACCCTGCAGTTTGGAACTACAGCACAGTAATGCTAGCCTTACATCTGGTAGGATACTATAGGTTTGTTCCAGACCCAAAATGGGCCAACCATGGCAGGCTCTGGACACATGCCACATATTTCCTGAGAAAACCACTACAGACAAAGGTGGGATTGAACACAAGGCTTTACACAGTATTCCTGCAATCAGGATGGAAGCAATGAAATAAGGAACCATACAAAAAAATGTGGTTGCTTGCAATGACACCACAAAAGTGGAAAGCTGGGCCCATCTGCAGATAATGAAAATACTCACCCTCACATTGTAAGAAAAACAGCAGGCTGACAGCACAGAGGCCTGCAAAACAGACATATGACCAATGACAAGCTGCCCTTGATAGGTAACCATGGAAACCATGAAAGATGATGGTATGAAATAAAATGTGACTATCTGGATAAATATATACATATTTCTCTGAAAAGAACAATGCTTGTTATGATACTATACAAGCTCAACATTTATAGGATGTTAAATATGCTATTAATCTCCTGTTACATTCTATAACATGGATAAAATATTCTGGAATAAAGGATGATATATGCAAAATTCAAACCAATCCTGGAAGAGCATAACTGATGTTACCTAATCCACAGATTGTTGACTTGAGGGATGGAGAAGATGATATATATAGAACATTTGGACAAGCATGTCTGATCTTGATATCAGTCATGGCAGCTTCACTTCCTGGGAAAAAAATCACATTGCCATGTCATGGTGGTAAGACCTAAAAAAATGAATGACAGATTTCAACCAAAAGGCCCAGGCAATGAACTGAATTACCCATGGGGCTATGATACATGTAATTAAAGTATGTAGGTTCTATGAGAATATAACTGAAAGTAAATGTCACATAATTCAGTTATCATCACATGCTAAAATGAAGAGTAGACCAAACTCCTAATTACAACTATTCTACTTCATGCAAGATGAAACATAGAGCTGTGCCATACATAAACATGCAAAGTAAGTAATAAAAAGAATAGAGCAGGAATATCTGGGATACAGGTAATGTGCTACATAACTGCCATCACACATCAGTCACACCAACAAATGACAGGTGTTTCCCACTTGCATTTGAACTGATATTGACAACACAGACATCAGTACAACAGCCTCAGGAATCAACCAAGCCAGGTATGAAAACAAAATTGTAATAAAACACAAACATCCATCCATATGAAATAATGGAAACGCTCCGCGATGACTGGGAGTTCGTAATGGTTACGGTGAAAGCAAAACCGGTAACAGTACAGAGTATGCACGTTTAGCCCTCCCGCTTTCTCAACGTAACTGCATGATTCCCATCCACAACTTGGACCCCATATGCGTCCGACAAAGTATCTGGGTGACTTACATTCCACACAACATGCGCACAAGGCACCAACCTCCAGCGGTATCCTCCCACCATCATACGTCATGAGCTCTTTGTTGTTGTTTACATCGGTCAGCTGATTGGGTCCCTTGCCTAATCCATTTAGAGCTGTAGCATTTACCTACAAGTTTCAGCCGATGTTACGCTGCGTATGAATAGACTATACCTAGAGCATTATTAAGACCCTGTGACGTGGAAAAATGTGCTTAAACATGAATGATAGATCGTTAAATATCGAAATAATCCCTTTATCTTAACTTCAGTATCGCATTTGGCAATAGAATCCCACGGATCACACGACTGGCTACAGTACAGCTGTCAGCCGATGATGGAAACGTATAGTCTCAAGCACGTTTAAACCAAACTAACCTGCGATTTATTTTTGTAGGTACCTTTGAAAATAAACCCCAACATGGCTGGGCACTTATTTCTAGCTGCCTATTTTCGCACAAAAATATGCGTTGCTTATGTATCCAACTATATTCTAATGGAAGTCTAAGTCTACCGAATGTCGTGGAGTGATAGTGCGCAAAAATCATTTCTTATTAAATGACGTCATAAAACTCTATACACCAATCAAAATTTAGAAAAACATTAAAAACTCATCATCCCACACTTTGTGCTTGAGCCACGAACCATCTACCTTAGTGCCGGTTCCTCCATTCTCCTGCCCAGTTACCTACATCCCTTACAACTGGAAGGCACATATGCAGTGCATCTGTGGTGCGCTGGGGACCATTTGATACGTGCCGGATGTTACTTGCGAAGATACTGTTGGTTTCCAATATACGGCGTGCGTTAAAGCCATTAACCGTTCCAGCTTTGGCTGAGGGAGTGCAGTGCGTCTGTTGCAGATATCCACGCGTTGAATCTTGCTGTGGATAGCAGTTACATAGACAGCAAGCCATGTCTGATAAAAGTAAAAGGATCATCGAAATTGCCAGTCTTCCTGGCAATGAAAAATGTGCTGACTGTAAGGGGCCAAGTAAGTAAACCGCATGAGGTTTGGGTAACTCGCTAAGTCCCTTTAGATGAACTTAAGGCAAAGACATTAAGGTGAATTGGTTTTGTGAAGGGTGGAATAAGTGGGGCACTATTATGGCATAGGGGGAAGAAAAGAAACATGTGTATTGGTTTGCAAATAAAAATATTCAGTGCACTGGAAGCCTACAGGACATCAGTGAGCTGGATGCTGCTCTTATGCACCAGACCAGATGCTCTCATGTGCTATGATATCCTACACCTGATATGCTTGATATCATATGCACTGTTGCATCTGGTTTAGAATGATTCCTATCTAATGATGTAGTATTCTTGAATTACATGAACACTTACAATGTTGAATCTACTGCATGTTTTACATGAACATTATTTATTGCACCAAATGTGATACATTATGGTATGCCAATTTATTTGAAGGCAACATATGTGCAAAAAGGTTTGTTGAGGGAGTTCTCCCAGGGTATTAATAGCTCATAACCTATCTGAGAAACCCGAGGTATGAGGCTTGGCTCCCATTAGTATCCACCCTTCTGGCCAGAGTGGGAGATCAGTAACACCATGTGACCACAGTTGCTGAATGCTGTAAAGCCACTTTGGTAATGAAGAAGAACTTTTGTCATTTCTGTGTTATAGCTAAGGCTTGGGAGTGTATTGCCAGTCTAAGAAAGAGACATGGGTGGTAGTAAGATGCTTGGAGCTCTTAGAGATCTGAGTGCTGGTTGGGGCAGCCTCAGTTCCACTTTATATGATGCATTAAATTAACTGCTCAACAACATTGGTGCTAAGGTTATCCTGTCCCACAAATCATTTATCAGAGTCATGTCTTTTTATACTGCATTCCTTATTGGATGTATTGTTTTGAAATAGAGATTTTCCATAAATGTATCTGGAAAAGTGGGGGCTGTGTAACTGGTAATTGAGCAATGCTGTTAGAAAAATATACCAATATTAATGAGACTCAAACCAGTTTCTCTATAAACACTTAAGCTGCATTATCTCATGGTTCTCACTAGGCTATCTGGTTTTCTATGGAGATACCAGCAACATGTGCATTGTATATCACTTCCTGTTCTTACCTTCCATCATTATATTCATATGCATTCAGTCATGTGAGTAGTCCTTAGAATCCAGGTGATGAAGATCTAATTCATATATATTGCATATAGAGTCAACTTGTGTTAAGTTCACTGCAAATTTTGTTGACAGTGTCACCAGCTTTCTTTTCTGTGCTAGTAAAGTTATGGTTGACTTGGACATTTTTTTAGATAAGATATTCCTCAATAATCTGTGAAATACTTTGATTAGGCCCAGTGTAGCTAACTTTTTCCAGAACATTGTTCACAAATCATGTAGTAACATCCTTTGTTTTGCCACCTGTGATGATTCCTTGGTGCCTATTGAATGGCTGTTACCATTATCACATAAGTTTTGCTTCAAGTGGTAGGTACTGCATGATATGTTCAGTACTTCTCTGTATTACCTCCTAATTTTTGAAACAACGAGTCATCTAAACAGAGGTTATAGTGGCCCCAAGCAGCAATACTATGCATGTTTCACCATTGATTTTACTACACATTCAGTTGGTGGAGTAGACAGCAACCTTTAATGCTTAAGCTGTGTAGAAAAACAATGGTATCATGTGTAGAAGTGGGAGACTGAGTCACTTTGTAAACTGTGCTCATGCCTAAGAAGGATTGAAACCAATGTGCTTCTTATTTCTACAGGCTGCTTTAGTTTTGGTTTATCCAGGCTACCACCAGATTGCTTTCCTGTTGCTCATTGCTATCAGGAGCCAGTAGGATGAGTTTCAGTGTGACTGCAGCCTCGCCGGGAAACGCCAGAGTCTGGCTGGTGCCCGCGTTGTCCGGCGTCGGCCAGGGGTGGACCCGGTCAGACTACTGCATCACCATGGGTGCTTTCCCGATTAGACTTATTCCCACGGCGAGTATTGCCGCCGTCGTGATCATCCCCGCCGTCGTGATCATCCCCGCCGTCGGGATCATCCCCGCCGTCGTGATCATCCCCGCCGTCGGGATCATCCCCGCCGCCGTGATCATCCCCGCCGCCGCGATCGTCCCCGCCGTCGTGATCATCCCCGCCGTCGTGATCATCCGCCTGACGGCCACCGGCGGCTGTCGCCGGCCTGGCCACTGCCGTGATCGCCGGCACACCCGGCACGTCCCGACGCCCCCGGGGGGGGGGGGGGGATGGCGCTGGAGCCGCCGCCGCCGCTATCATCCGGCGGCGGACGGCCGCACCGGAAGAGCGGAGCCTCCAGCGGAGGGGAGGGGGCGACCGCCGCCGGCGAGCGCCGCCGGCGGCGGCGGCCGGCGGAGCGACGCGGGGTATCTCCCGGCGGGCAGCCGTCTATCGCCGCCGGCCCACTGCGGGGCAGTTTGAATGGGCTCGATACATCTCGTCGATACAAGACGTACCACATGTTTCAGGGCATTTGTTTAGTTGTGAGTGACCTTATACTTGCACAGAAATTGTTTAGGATACGCTTTGCTTTGACAAAAGCGGTGGTAGTACTTACCACTTCTTGCGGGTCGTGCCTGCCCATGCGACGGTGTACGCACGCTGTAACCTTGGACGTACATGGCGGGCAAGGCGACCAGTGTGCCGAACTGGGTTTAGCATGATTGGCATTGTCTTGTCGGTATGCATGTATTGATTTCGTTTTTCTTGTGTTAAGTGCAACGGGATATCCGTTACCACGCCGCTTTTATGGAGCGCCAGCACACTGACTTCGGCTTCGTGAACATGAAAGATACGGGACGTTTTAAAAATGTTTGTAGATCACATATGGCCATGGTTGCGATTGACTCCCGATTTCGTTGAAGTCTCCAGTTGGTGGGAGTTCTGTTTGCACTCTGTAGTTACGTTGCCTAAGTGTAGCCATGACGTGGGTACATCCGGAGGCAAGTGGCGCACGTTATTGCTCTAATAAGGACATCGATTTGGTTGATTTCGGCTTGGCTAAAGCCAGAGCGTTAAAGCGGTAGTATGTGAGGATCTCAGGCTCTGGATAAGTTGAGAACTGTTCTTTGGAAAACACTTTCCGCTCATTCCAGACAGTTGTAAATCGCAGATTTATTGATGGCATAGGTGCTCTAACACATAAGCTCCATAACTTGAGACATAAGGGCTGAAGGCATGCCAATCGCGTATGCATGACCATAATGTTAAGTGTGCATTACCACTGCGAGCATATCCACCGCTTTTACGTGTGCATCGATTTTGTGGTTTTTGTGCGTGAAAAGACAGGTTTCTGTCGTCTCTAAAGTATTTAACTCTTTTGCCTCCAGTTTGGTTCTGGTCTGCTATGACGGCATTTTCAGTGCCACTCACCATTCGTGCTGTCCCATGCTAGCATGTCTGTTTATCTTGGCCATTTGGTTCGTTGTTTTTGTTCACGCGCTTTTGCAAGCATCCGGCAGATGTATGAGTCAGAGTTCTACAGCTGGCGCGGCAGCACGTTAAGGCCGGTGGTCGTGTGCGCCGCGGGCGTCCGCCGCCTCCAGACCGACCCGTGCAGTGCTGCGACCTCCGACCCCGCCCTCGTCCGCGCCACGCGCCGCTACGACAGCCCGTGCCCGCTGTTGCAGATGTGGAGTACGCGTCGCACAACCTGGGCGTGTTCCTGTGCACGCGCTGCGTGGCTGTGCACCGGCAGATGGGCACGCACATATCGCAGACCAAACACCTCAAGCACGACAGGTGAGCGCGGCCGCCGCCCGACGGGTGGCCAGCTGCCGGCGCCGCGGGCGCACTGGACAGCGGCCGCTACAGCCGGCAACAGCCATTAACGACGGACGCAGCCGCCCACTTTCTCGCATGACATGTTGGCCCCGCCATGGTGCTGCGCCCGCAGCTGGCCACTGCGATCGGCTGGCGTCGAGACCCCAGCGTCTGTCCTCGGAGGAGCGGTCCGTGTCGATGGCTGGCGAGCCGCCGGTCGCGGTGTTCGCCTGTGATCGCCGCCTCGTGTGCCGGCGGCTGTAGGCGGCCGGTCGAGCCTCTTCCCGTCTGTGGTCTGTGAGGTCGTCTACCTGTCGCGTTTTACGGAAGGTAGATCGCGGGCGCCGATGTGCGTGCGGTGTGTATGTCTGGACTGCGGCAGGACGGACGGCGTCGACGTGGTCTGTCCTTCGCCGAGGGGAGAGTGCGCCATCCGGTCACCGCGTGCCTGCCGTCCGTTACGTGTCCTGTGGTCGCATCTGCGCGCGCGTTACCGGCCCGCGCGGCATCCGCGCGAGTGACGCCTGGGACCAACGTCGCCTGCCTGCGCCACCAGGTGGACAGACGACGGCCAGCTGGCGTTTCATGGCCGAGAACGGCAACACGCTGGTGAACGCCCACTACGAGCAGCACGTGCCTGACTGCTACCGCCGGCCGGACTGCCTCGCGCCCAAGTACGTGCAGCCTGTCAGCTCGTGAGCGTGCCCGAGGCTGA